TGTAAAATGAGTGTTAAGTAATGCATATAAGATATAATCTGTATAGTGTCTATATGTATTGGAGTGTAAATATGTTTATATTTACTATCAGTATGTTGATATTTACGATCGAAATGGTTATATTTACAACGAATATAGAAATGTAATAGTATGAATATTCAATATACAAATTAATATAATATACCTATATAAAATCAAGCTATGACTAATTTATTATTTTATATCTACTATACAATATGGTAAGATATATCCTAACTTGTGATGGTAATATACATGTGCTTTACATTATTTATGAAGTAAATACAATAGTGTATAAAAATATTTATGTATCTAGTCGAAAAACTTAAAAATAAATTCCTAGTATTTTGTGTAAAATGAGTGTTAAGTGATGCATATAAGATATAATCTGTACCAACCCACCTATCATATGATTTATTATAATATAAGCGATAGGGTATGGTTCAGCATAAATACTCTCATATATTTAACGATAATTGGAGACAAATATACGATTTCTATGTTACATTGATGGAAAATCAAAAAAAAAAAAAAATATATATAGTGATCTTATATATTTTAATCTAAAAATCAATGCTTTATTTTTGACCGACGTGTTATAGGTTTGTGTATTTTGATACAGGTATAGTGATGAAAATCAGTGAAAATTTTAATGATAGTATGGGTGTTATATTATATAGCTGATGAGTGTGGCTCTATGAATACAGTTTTTATGATATTTAAACAAAAATAATAACTTCTAGCAAAGGTATCTACGAATGTACTGGTTTTTAAAGGTAAAATATATTAGTTATATATATATATATATATATTTGTACAGTGAGATTATGATAATTACAATTGAACACATTTTTATTGAACTTATGAAAATATGTGTACATGTTTTAACATAATATAATGTATGAGTCATAAAACTAGATATAATATCATATTATAGTGTAGATTGAAGAGAAGTAAGTCAACTATTTAGAACTGAAATATTTCTGTTATAGTGTATAGTTGCATTTAATATCTAACGCGATATGATTGATGGATTGATTTACAAACTATAGTTATATGTTATTATTAAGAATTTCAATATTTTAGACATGATCTTGACATAGAAATTATATTTGTATAAGATTTTATCAAAATTATAATATTATCATAATTTGGGAGAAATTAGCATATTTTTACCGATTTTCCTGAAAAATCATGATTTTTTCAAATATATTCCCAAGCTTGTGATGGCAATATACAAGTGATTTCATCATTATTTTACAAAGTATATGGAATAATACATGAAAAGTATAAGTAATAAGCATCCATGTAGTATATAACTGTACAAATAATACATTTCTATAATGTTGTACAAAATAAATGCTGGGCTATGTGTATAAGATATGCATTAAAAGTAATTTAAATATATATGGTTTTCTATATATGAAATCATTAAGTGGAAAATTATCACCGCTTAACGTACCTACATTTTATTTTGTTTTTGCTAATATGTGATGAAGACAACTATATAATAGTATGCTTTTTTATTATTAATACCATGGAATTTAAATATGAATTTGTTTCATCTTTGAAATAAATACGGTTTTTCATGTAATGCTTTTAAGAATTCTTAATATGATATTAATATGATATTCTAGACTTTAAGCTGCATTAGAATTGTGTGATAAATATGTGTAAATAGTACATGGATATTTATCTACTGAAAATGAAGCAATCAAAAAAGTTCATATAATATTATATCAATAATATTATATGAACTTATAATTATATTATCAAGTGCAACGATATGTATCGGTCGTTTAGACTCGTTATAATGGTGTTCATGCATTTAGATACACTTAATAACTAAACTGTATATATGTCTTTGATGGTAATTAGGTAGGGATATGATATTTTTTATAATATTACATGATTTTAATGAAATTATGATATTTTCCTCTATTTTTCACTAAAATATTGTAATGTTTCCATATGCTTTATTAAAATTATGATATTTTTACTTATTTTAGCAAGATTTTTGTATTTACACACAGACAGCTATGTTTTTATCGAAATTAGTACATTTTAACGTATATTCACATTGATGAGTAAATTTTTAGATTTCAGCATAAATTCTACCTACGTATTTAACGAAAAAATGAGTAAATTATATATGAGTACTGAGTAGGTCCTATATTGCATTTAATTGCTGTATATTGGATAGCGTTGTATCAGTATGCATGTCTACGTTGTGATATATTTTATGTATCAACTTTTAATATATAATAATTAATATATGTTTAATAAATTAGGTATCAAATAAATTATATATCGAAAATATTTTATGTAAATTATTATTTGGAATAATAGATCGAGTCTATATGTATGCATGAATGCTTTTTAATTAAATATATATCTATGTATGTATGTACCTATGTATGAATACTATTTAATTATATAAGAATATGTAAGGTTATATACTAGTATGTGTGTATGTAAATATGTGTATGCCTATATGTAGGCGACTTATTGAGGTGTATATTTGAATGTTTATATCCTTATATATATATTTATGTAATCCATATAATATGTTTAGGTGTTTGTAATGTCAAATATACATATCGGTATATGATTTAATGTGGGTTTGCATATCGTACTATGTTTCACATGTTCATGTAACTGTAGAAATAGGTGGTGGCTCGATTATAATATTTTTTACTTATTGTAAAATAAGTATTAGTAATAAGTAATTATATTTTTATATAATTCTCACTGCACTTGACGAATAATAGTATAATAATAACAGTAAGAGATTTATTTTTTCTCTTAAATCCATGTATGTATATATTATAAGCTATGATTTTAATCTAATGTAATCTCATACAATATTTCAATGTATATATGATTGATTAAAAATATAAGTAAGTATCTGTAATATTATTCACGATAGGTTGGCCTAAAAGTATTGTGTATATATATACATATACAAAGATATAAGAATGTATGTACGTTCCCACCTATATGCTCATTGTAGCATGAGTCTGTATGGAAAATGACTAATAACATGAAGATTTATAAATGTTTTATTGATAAAGATGTTACTATATAACTACAGATGTAACTTTAATTATTGTGTAGGTACCTATTTCGAGATTTTTGTAATAAACCGCATAAAGTACCTATCTACTGAAATGAGAGATATTGTTAATAGTTCTTAATTTTCCGATATTATAACTTATACAATGATATATAGCGGAGGTGATATGCCTGTGTGTGTGTATGTATGTATGTATGTATGTATGTATGTATGTATGTATGTATGTATGTATGTATATATGTATGTGTATGAGAGTTCATATGTAATTGAATGAATAAAGGACTGGGTGGCTGTGAGTGTGTGTGTGTGTGTGTGTGTGTATGCATGCTTGTATGTATGATAAGGTATGTATATATATATGTTGAGCGTGTGTTCAGAATGAAAACTGATGAGTACCGTATGGTATCGTGTGTTTCATAGTATATTATAGTTTTTAAGTGTTTGGTCATATCATATTTATATGTATAAATATACCTAAGTATCGTATATATTATGTAAATTGTATAATATGTTCAGGAGTTTGTGATAATGATGAGTATATAATTATTGTTTGGATATAAATTATGTAAGTATGTACCTATATATGTAAACTATATTATAATATATTTGAGATACATCGCGGTGTATGCTTTAGCGAGATGTTTATTCGAATGGGATTATAATCTGAAAATGGCATAATATTTTTAGATATGTGTTATGTTGTTAACTTATATGATATTATGAGCATGTATGTATTGTATGTATGATATAGTCGATACATATTTACATCAGAATATTATATCTTTTATTTTTAAAAGGAAAATAAGAAGGGGTAATATATTTGTTTAGGAAGGGGTAAAATATATGTCGGACAAGTGTTCGATAAAGTCGAAACAAATGTACATCAGAATATTATTTTTTTTTTTTAAAGGGTAAATAAAAGGGGAGGTAATGCATTTTAAGGAGAAGGCGTAAAATATATGTCGGTCACGTGTCGGATCGAGTGGCGTGCGACGAGTTTATATGTGTTGCGGGTTGCCTATATTGAGTAATTAATACAAGTTTGGGAGGTGCGTGTACTTCGAATTGCCTATACAGAGAAGCCTATGATTTTACATGTAAAATTTAAGGGGGAGGTGCTGCTGAACATACCAAATCATACTACTACAGTTCGACCGGTCCCTGCGGTGGATGTGGGCCAAAATCTGTAAATAAATAAAAAAAAATTTACGGATTGATATTGATAATATTTTTATTTTTTTTTTTTTGGTTCATAACTTAAAATAATTATATTATAATATGATATTATATTAAAAAAAAACTTCAAAAACTAGCTTGGAAGCTAAATTCATTTTATGTATTGTATGCGTTTTATGATGTTCCAAGTCACCTTTAGATTTTTTTGAAAAATAAAACTAAAGCTATACAGTTGGGAAAATACGATGGGAAAAAATGTTTGTGAACTTCTGATTAGTGATTACAATATTCTTCTTTTGAAGCATTATTTAATGTATACAAAATATAAAAACCCTTAAACTCGACTTCTATCACGAAGATCTGAAGGACTTTTGGAAGCAATGATTATTATACTGTAATCATGAGAAATGTTTGGCCATTTTTTTTGGAGGTAATGATAAGACCAATCACATGGTTTAAGATAACATTTATTATCATAAAAATGATAAACATATATTTAATGGAGGTAGAATGAAACATAGGCCCACGGATATAGATACTAGTAGGTATGTACCACAGAAATAGATATCTATATATTATCTGTTTATTATCTATATCTGTGGTATATACCTATAAACTAATGGACAGCGCTTAGAGAGATAGGTCAGAGCATTTATTACAATTATTACAAACTGTATGTCTGTACTCTCCAGTTAAATGATTATGATCACGTACAGGTAAATTATTGTCATTACATTTTGATTTGCAATACGGACATGTCCCTAGATCTGCAATATTTCTGTGTTTTATTGTTTTCCATAGTCATTGTAAGGGGTACATTAGTTTGTAATAATTTTTCTATGTTCTTAGCGACTTTCACAATGTCATCCATGAACCTCTTTGCAACATTTCCTTTGCCCAAACTAGAATCTCCTCTGAACATTACTGGTTTGGTTGAAATATTATATTTATTCAGTAATTCAATTGGAATATCTTCAGAAGGTTTTATATAGTAACAATAACTCATCAAGTCATGATCATGAATTATACAGGTATTTCTTGTATTATTGGAATTATTTTGTTTAACTAAAAAAGATTCAAAATCAGCGTATAAAGCAAATGGGTGTTTTTGTGTCCGTTCATAATTTTCAAATTTCATGAACGTGTTTGGTTGTGGCATTATGGGTCGTAGAGGTTTGTTTTTGTTGCATAGCAGCTTATGGTCAGCCAGCCGTTGTTCAACACTAGTATCGCCTACCCCCGCCGAGTAGCCCTTAAAACATATTTTACATATTGCAGCACAGCTCGTATGTAATGTAATCTGTGATCGTACTAGCCTTGAAAGACTCGTAATCCTACAATAATGTTGTTTACCGTCTCCAAATAATAATAAGTCATGGTGGTCCTCGAGTTCCTCTTGACACACTTTTATCGAGTAGGTAAACAATATATTGAACAGATTTCTTCTTACAACGTTTGACTCTTGAAATATTAGCTGTTTGTATATTATTTTTATAGCTGATTATCCCCCGTTTGAGGCTATATACGTTGATCGAAACGTTAGGATTACGAGCTTCAAATTTATGTTTTATATCTTTCACTTGAACAGGGTAGCTTAATTTTGAAAAATTATACATGTTTTCTATTTGATAAAAATGCTGTCCTACTCGGAATGCACTACTAGCGTTTAAGTGTTTTGCTAAAAAGCTGTACTTAAAACACTTTTCGTCCGTGTTTTTAGTGTTTACTATAGCTTTTTTATTTTCAATACAATCCGACAGTTTAATATAAGACGAACCTCCTAGAGCCGTATACTTATTACTTATTTATATTAAGTAAAATACCATCAATGGATACGATAGTGTATCCGCTCCCTAAGTGTTTGGTCATATCATATTTATATGTATAAATATACCTAAGTATCGTATATATTATGTAAATTGTATAATATGTTCAGGAGTTTGTAATAATGATGAGTATATAATTATTGTTTGGATATAAATTATGTAAGTATGTACCTATATATGTAAACTATATTATAATATATTTGAGATACATCGCGGTGTATGCTTTAGCGAGATGTTTATTCGAATGGGATTATAATCTGAAAATGGCATAATATTTTTAGATATGTGTTATGTTGTTAACTTATATGATATTATGAGCATGTATGTATTGTATGTATGATATAGTCGATACATATTTACATCAGAATATTATATATTTTTATTTTTAAAGGGAAAATAAGAAGGGGTAATATATTTGTTTAGGAAGGGGTAAAATATATGTCGGACAAGTGTTCGATAAAGTCGAAACAAATGTACATCAGAATATTATTTTTTTTTTTTAAAGGGTAAATAAAAGGGGAGGTAATGCATTTTAAGGAGAAGGCGTAAAATATATGTCGGTCACGTGTCGGATCGAGTGGCGTGCGACGAGTTTATATGTGTTGCGGGTTGCCTATATTGAGTAATTAATACAAGTTTGGGAGGTGCGTGTACTTCGAATTGCCTATACAGAGAAGCCTATGATTTTACATGTAAAATTTAAGGGGGAGGTGCTGCTGAACATACCAAATCATACTACTAACTGTTGAGTGGAAACGCTGATGTGAAATCTGGGAATGTCCATATTACCGGCTTACACACATACTGCGCACCAAAGACGACAAGAGGATATTTTGTGGTGACGGGATGTCGGACCGGGCCTGCGCGAGGGTTCTCGTTGAGCCGCTATGACGGTGCAGTGCACTACAACTTACGACCCATCATTAGGTTCAGAAGGCAGTGCTCTGGACCTAGCAAGAGGATGTGCGGGAGCTCTTCAGCGACGGCTACGGCATGCCGAGGACGAGTCTGGAAATCAGCCTTTGCCGAAGGACCACGATCGCGGAAACGCTGCCCACGTCCGTGTGACCGGCCAAGTGTTCGTTCTGCAGCGAGGCGCTCGGTCGGGTGGTTTGGACTGTAGAAAGCTATTGCAGGCTGCTGATCGAGGTGCTCGTCGGACCCGTAGATGGTGACAGGAGGAACCTTTGGGGGTGACGATGAAATTGCTGATCGGAGGGTATAATAAGGGGCTGTTCCGGAAAGTGCGACATGGCTTCAAGAGTTTCCGGCGAGGGTATTAGTTAACTCGCCGGTTAATCGTGGGTATGCTGAAATTATAATTTTACTGAAAATTAACAAATTTTTCACGATTTTTCGACATCGTCATAATATGGTCTATAATAAGTTGTAACACTCTCAGTTCAGAAATACTGTATACTTATATAACTTACGTATGTTATTATATGGGTTAGGTTGATATGTCGCTGCAGGCTTTTGGCCAGCCTGGTTGTAATGTATGTAACATATTGTGTAGTCCGGTGGTCGAATCGTTTCATATTTTCTTGTCACGCTTCTCATGGAACTGCCACGTGGCTACTTACCCCCTCAATTTCATCGACACATCCCGCCTGTTCCTCTACGACCATCTCCTGTTCCGACACCAACATATATGCATCTCGGTCTGCACAGCCTGGCTTTCTCGTCCGGTTCTTCCGGCCGCTTTCCAAATTTCCAATAACTCCACTGCAGAACGAACCCTGTCGTCGCCCGGCCAGGTTTCCCGGACGCTGGCATCATTTCCGTTGGATATATTATGTTTTAGGCGGTCTTACGGCGGAGTCTGTTCTCCAAACTCGTCATGCTCTTCCCGATCCTTAGCAGATTGGTTCTATTATAGTTGATAGATGCTTTGGGGTCAAAGTATAAAAATTCCCAATACTTTTCAAAATAAACAAAAAAAAACAAAAATGATTGAAAAACTGAAATGTTTACCTAATACAAATAAACTATAGTATGAATAGAAAATTGACACTGCATCACCGCCTCAGTTAAGAGTTGTTTTTCATTTACAATGATTTATTTTTGAATTCAAATTCAATCCATCCATTATAGTGGCCTACTCATTGACTAGGTACGCTCAAAACCTGTTATTCAACAGAGCAAGTTTCCCAGTTTTTTAATATATTATACTTAATTTGATCTATTTAATGAATTAAATAGAACTAATGTAACTCTCAACAACTGTTTTATTGTGCAATATTATGTTTTAAAAAATAATAAAACTATAGATATTCTTTTGCAGAAGTCTTGTCACTGGTTTAATACTTTCGTCACTAGATAGCATTGGTGTATGCAATTTTATTTTTTTATTCGAGTTTAGTTTCTAAGTGGAGCGATTAATTTTACAATGATGACGTGTTTTGTTTTAGATTGGTTGTGGCTATCATCGGCTTTTAGAGCAGTGAAATTGTGAAAATGCTTCAATATCCAGGTTTGAAGGTGGTTTCTGGTAGCAAATTGGATTAATTATAGTTGTTATATGCTTTGGGGTCAAAATATAAAAATTAACACTTCTTTAAAAAAAAAAAAAAAAACAAACAAAAACGATTGAAAAACTGAAATTTTTACGCAAAACTATGTCACTAGTTATTGTCATGCCTGTACCGAAAGTTAATTTTTCGTTGACGGTTGAATGGTTGGAAAGCAACATAGTGCTGGGTGGTAAAGTGGAAATCCCAAAAAATCGATTAAAAACTGCATTGTCGTAAAAAATTCCGACATACGAACACTATTTATTTACATACTTATTTTTAAACTAACAAAGCTAAATGTAAACTTCTGAGTGTACATTTTGCATATTTTGCACTTGTTAGAGTAAGACGCTGACGACAAATGTGGGTATGGTGTCCTCAGAGTATACATTTTTAAAAAAATGTTTTAAAAGAATACGTCATATATAGATAGGCGTATCTTGCAGGCATTTGAAATTAAGAGGGAGCAGAGTCACAATAAAATGTCGATACCGATTAATATTTTTTTTCTTAGTCCTCTTAGTTCTTACAGTATTACATATTATAATAATATAGTTAAACTGAATGATTAGATAAATAAATAATTTAATAATAATTAAATTAATAATTTTATTATTGTGAATTTTTATAACATATGATCAGCCCCCTCACAGCAACCCACCTCGTTACGAGTTACGACGTAGATATTAGAAATGCCAAATATAGCCTGGATAGTACATTTGGCCGTCCCTGACAGCCAGACACTTAAATCTATACCACGGTTTTTACAAAACATAAACTTTTGGTTACATCTTATATTCATATTTTAACCTCCTTGCATGACGCGTTAACTTTTTTATTTCATGAAATTGCTTTTGTAGATTAATCTGATTATTGGATAGATCCCTGCATATAATGCATTGTGCATTCCCTTTGCCGTAATCACATATTTTCTTTATTCTTATTTTATTTTAATATAATAATTATTATTTATTCTGAAATCTAATATCTATACCACGATCCTTACAAAACATACACTTTTGGTTACATCTTATATTCATGTTATAACATACATGCATGAAGCATAAAATAAATAAAACCAAATCGTTTATTTCATGAAATATTGTTTTTGTAGAATAATCTAGTTGTTGCATAAAGATGACTGCATTACCTTTGCCGTGATCGATGAACACAGAGTCGTGACAAAAAATAGTATGAGTGGCTCGTGCGGGAAGACAATTTCTGCCCTTGCCAAACGATATACTAGTTTGACAAAATCGATTTCGTTTTTTTTTTTGTAGGTAAGCACTTTAAATTTTCCCTAAATTTATATATTTCTAGACATGACATTTATTCTTTGATTTATGTTAATAACATTTTATATAAAAGGTTATGACCTATGAGTTCATATGACCAAAGTAAAATAATTTTGTCACAAAACCACAATTAAACAACTTAAGGTCCACCACCACGTCTTTTTTTGTCAAAAACTACTGTTTCTAATTCCAATGATACGTGTCAACAATTTTCACGATTTTCATTCTGAAAAAATATTTGGATTATCCTTAATATATACATTTGAACGATCGAGCCACATATTTAATTTTTTTTAATTTAAATTGCAATAAATATTGTAAAAAATTCAAATTTTTTCATGATCACAATATTACAATTTTACATGTGCGTGCAAGTTCGTGCAAGAGCCCTTAGTACCGCTACAATCGACCCGCATGGACGCCACACACACGACACACTAATAATCATTTACGACTAAAAAATAGATTTCCGGTGTCCGACAAGATTAGAAATTGCCTAAATGATTCTCCTTAAATCAATGCTAC